CCCCCCCCCCCCACCTCCGTTTCCTGCTGTGCTCTTTGCCAGCTCCTGTTGGTCTCCCTTCTCTCCATCTCCCCTCTGTGTCTCCTTCCTCTTTTTGCCCACAGTAGCCCCAGAGGCCTCCCCTCCCCCTTAGTGGGACTCCCAGGCCTCAGGAAGTCACCTTGTCCTATCCAGCAGCCCTTGGATTGTTGGTTCCCTGTTCAGGGTCAATGATGGTGAAAAAACATTTCTCAAGCTTCTGTGGTACCAGGTGCTGTGCCAGGCACTTTACCTGCATTATCCTGTGTAAGTCTCACAGTGATCTTGAGGTATTATTAGCCCTGTTACCAGATGAGGCGACAGAGGCTCAGACAAGTTACTTATTGAGGCCCTGCATCCAATATACAGCAAGGCCAGGTCTCTGTGACTCGAACGCCACCTTTTTCTTGAATGAGGCAGACATCCTCCAAGGGGGCAGGTGGTTGTCAGAAGTGACCTGCTGCTTTCCCTCCCCCCAGATCTGGAGGAGCCAGAAGTGGAGGCCACAAAGCAGGCGCTGAGCGGCTGTGGGTTTGACTGCTGGGAAACCAGCATCGGTGCCCCTGGCATCTCCATCCATTCGGCCACCTCCCTGGACGCCCCTGTCCGGCAAGCCCTGGATGGCCTCTGAGATGAGTCCACGCTGCTGTGGCGCTGCCAAGAAGCCCCTTCCTGGATTTTTCTGGGCCCTCAAGTTGGCCTCTGTGCTGGCCAATGGGCACCCAGCTCCTGATGCTGACAGAGAGGCCCCCAGCCCCCTGTGACATCCCTTCTGCTGGCTGTGCCTCTACAGTCCCACCAGTGGGACCTGGAACCTGCCGTGGGCTGGGCTGCCCAGAAGACATGGTCTGTGTCCTGCATTCTCTCCAGCTGGCTGGGCAGTGGGGCTGTGTAAAGTCCTCTGAGACTGCAGACCTGAGATAAGAGGTGCTCTTTCTTGTCCTCCCTAAGGCTCCCCCAGACCCATCTGCTTTGGGCCTCTGTCTTCACCTCAAACTCCCTGGCTGACCTGGCAGAATGCTCAGGTTCAGGGGCCTGGTTCCGGGAGCAGTGTGCCTTCTCCTTCTTCCACCTCTGTACTTCTACCTGCCTCTCAGGACCAGGCCCTGCTCACCTCCTCCAGGAAGTCTTCCCTGACCCTGTGACCTGCTCTCTCTAGCTAGATGTGGGCTCCCCTAGGGAGTGTCCAGGTGGTGGCCTTCTGTCCTATGGCCCAAGAGTTGACCCAAAGCAGGGTCAATGTGCAGTTTCTTCCAGTCTACCTGAGGGGTTTGCAGAAAAGATGGCAAAGGGGGAATAAAAAGATCTTGAGTAAACAGTGCTTCACTCTGTGTCAAAAAAAGGGTGAGGGTCTGGTAGCCTGCCCACCCACACCTGCCTCCTTTGTCCCTGTCCCTTCTCCAGCCACCTTCTCAGGGGACTCTTCAGGAGTTAAAGGAAGGAGGGCTCTGGTCACTTGGTTGGGTGTCTTGGGGATGGGGTGGGGTTTTCCCAGGTGGCCCTGGTGGCACAGAGTTGGACAGGACACTAGGCTCCGTCCACTAGCACAACTCCAGTCCGCTTTTCCAAAAAGGGGAAACTTAAGCTTCCTAGCTCCTAGAACCATGAGCACCCACGAATTCACTGACCTTTGTAAGTATTAGAAACAAAAAGCTGCTGTAGGTCCTGTAATATTCCTTTCTAAAATTAACTGTGGGTGGGGAAAACAGACTCAAGGGCTTATAGCACAGTGCCTGGCACCTACCTGGACAGATTTGAACTTTATATTACCAGTCAAGGTTCTTTCTGAAATGGCAGAATCCATCAAAACCCCGTGTACCTACCACATTGCCAACAGAAGTCCCAGGCCTGAGAGGCAGACTCTGCGCAGGAAGGTGGGGCTAGGCAGGGGTTTCAGGATTTGATTAAAATGTCTCAGCGAGCTTCTGCCCTTGGCCACTAGGGGGCAGCTGGCGCATTTCCCAGTGTCTTCACGGGGTGAGTGGGAGATGGTCTAAAGAGCAGAATCTGAGTTTCCCTTCCTCCACCCCACGCTGGGCCTCTCCGCGCTCTGCCAGGAACATAAGGGTGATAGGAAGGATACCTGCCCCAGCTTAACTTGTAAAAATGGTCCCAGCATCACTGATGAGTTCCATGCCTCTACCCTTTAAAACAATGCATAAAACAGTAATATTAATACTGAATACTTACCATGTGCTGAGCACTGTTATCTACCCCAGCTTTGGACTGTAATTGCTAGTCTCAGCTCCATTTTACAGATCAGAAAACTGAAGCTCAGAGAGGTTGAGTAATTCACCCAAGGCCACACAGCTATTTAGCATCAGAGGCAGGATTCCAACTCAGGCGCTCTGACTCCAGCACCTGCCCTCAGCCCCTATGTGCTTCTGCCTGGACACAGGTTTGTTGCAATTTCTTGCTGCTTTCCACACTCAGGCTCATTATTTCCTCTGGCTTCTGATATACTTGGTTAGAGTGGGTTGTGGACCTGGGTGTAAGTTCCCCACATGATTTGAATGAGCAGTCAGGGTTGAACGATGCTTTCTGTGGGATGATCCTGGCTGACAGTGTTTCCAGCCTCCCTGGGGCTCCCATAGCCACCCATGGCAGGTGTACAATCCAGGGGAGGGGTTGTCCAGAGGCTCCGGCCCCCAGAACCTATCTGCTCACCAAGACCCTCCCTCTTCCTGACTCCCTGGGCATTGGGTGTCACTCCTGGAGCAGAAGCTAACCCCTTACCCTTGCCCCATAAAGCAGCCACCTGCATGCCTCAGCCAGCACAGCCTCTTACCCTAGCTACTGCCACCGACCACCGTATGGGCCACCTGTCTTTGAAGTGCATTTGCAGACAATTTGCATTTGCAGCATCACCCCTTCTCTTCACCTGCCTTGGTGGCTCTTACTCCCAGCTACACATCAGAGCCACCCATGAATGCCTGGCCCACCCCCAGATATTCTGAATTAACTGATCTCAGCTGGACTCCTGGCTCTGAGGGGATTCTAACATGCAACCAGGACTGAGGACATTGAACTAGGTGACCTCCAAGGTCATTTCTGTAGGTCATGGTGCTTGAGAGTTCACCTCTGCCTGGGCTCCCATTCAGCTCTGCCACCCACTATCCATGTGAGCTTGGGCAAGCCAGTTCCCCTCCAGGAGGCTGAAGTCTCTACTTCTAGAAGATGGAAATAATAATACCCATCATATATAGAGGTTTCGTGAAGATTGAGTGAGGGGATGCACGCAAAGCTCTTGGCACAGTGCCTGGCACATAATTACTGAATAGTTGCTCATTTTTATAACTGTCCTGTGCTGAAAAACTAGGCGTCTCTGAGAGCCCAGAAATTTCAGAATGGTGCACAGAGCTTATTAGAAACACCCAGCCCAGTTTTTCTAAAGCCCCTGAGTTGAAATCCCTAGGGTCAGTATTCGAGAAACACAGCTAATGCCGACTAGCTTTCCAACCTCCCTCCCAGTTTCCTCTCCCAAGAGGCAGCCACATACCTCTGGTGCCCTCTTTGCCAGCTGGAGGACAGCAATTCCTCAAGTCAGCATTTTGAGCCACTCCCAGCCTCTGCAGCTGATTGTGGATTTAACACCCACCCTCACAGCCTGAAGCTCTCAGAAAATTTCCCTGGTCTGGCAGAGGTCTCATGTCAGGAGACAGGCAGCAAATATTGTGATTCATACCAAACAGGGTGGCTGCTGTAGTTAAACTGATGTTCTTTCTGTTGGTGAGGACTTTTTCTCTCCGAGAATGTCCCCCATGGACCGCTGACAGCCTGTTCAGTTTGGTGACTGGCTGCAGGTCAGCAGGCATAACCAAGGCCCAGCTCTTCCAGGCTTCCAGCTAATTTTGGACCAGCTCCATGGCTGTCTCTTAGCACCTTCTGTATACCAGGCCCAGTCATTGTCTTAGATGAGGAAACTGAAGCCCAGAGAGGTTAGCAACATGCCTGTTACATGTTTTCATGTGTAATGTCCACGCCATCATCACATTTCCCCTCAGTTGTCCCCAGAATGTCCAGAATCCTGTTCAGGACCCTGTATCTGGCTGTTTTGGCCCTAAATTATCTTTTAATCTAGCACAGCAGCCCTCCCCATAGACACACACACACATCTTTTCCTCTCCACTACCTGGCTTACTCAAGACACCTGGCCAGTCATCCTACAGACGTGCCATCTCTGCATTGGTCAGCCCCCTCCCTGTGGCTTTGCCAGCTCCTGAATTACTAACATTCCTGAGCATCCACTTATGTGCCCCACATGGCACCGAGTGCCTTATCCCTGTGAATTCAGTCAGTTCAGTGGTGCAGGTAGGACAGAACCACGGCCTCTTATCAGAAACTCTGGGGTCCAGCTTTGGTTTGGAATTCAGAAGTTTGCAGTTTTAGGGATAGACACCCTATGTTCTATCCCTCATGGTATCTGGGGCAGCACCACCCCAGACTCTGCAATGAAAGGTATAAAGAGTAAAGATTGTACATAATATGCCAGCCTGCATTGCATTTGCTGCCAAATGCGTTTTGATGCTACGCTTCTACAGAGCATCTTGGATCTCGGGCCTGAATGATTCTCCCATTTTGCAGAGAAGCAGACAGATGCTGCTTGGAGAAGTTCAGTGATTCATCCAAGGCCACAGAGCTAAGGGGGTGAATCCAAGGCTTGAACCCCAGCCATCAGGGTGGACACGACCTCCCATGCTGCAGGGACTGACCAGGGCCTGTCTTTGCCCATTGGGATGGGAAGGCTCTGCACCAGCCACTTGGGGCTGGACGCTGCCCTACACAGTGCAGGCTGAAGGCAAGGGGCGCTGGGCACCGAGTACACTGGCTCAAACTGGTGAGTCAAACCGGAATTGTTGTCTTGTTTATTTTTCCAACTGTAATGCTTGTAATGTGACAGGACTGTAGGGAAATGACCCAGTAGTGGCCCCACACCTCCAGCTACTGGACCCTATTGGGAATCACCTTTCTGAAAACAGGCAGGACTGGGGGGCCACAGCTCCAGGGAGAGAAAAGGGCTCTCCCTCTCCTCTTGGGCCACCCCCACTCCCTCCAAGCAGCCAGAGGGGTGGTGAGGCCCTAATGCATCACTTTTCACCATATTCATGGGCCAACAGAGGGGCAGCCACCTAATTCCACACACATACAGGAGAGGTGATGGAATCCGGCCTCCATCACAGGCTGCTCTGCCAACCGCCTTCTCCCCCCCCACCCCCATGCCGCCCCGCTCAGGAGATTAGCTGGGTCTGTTCTCACACTGTGTTTAAATCTGATAAGGAAAACATCCATTTGCATAATGTAGTGTCTGAAGCCAAGGTATCCCCCTGAATACTGACAGGCACAGGGGTTTTGCTGGGATGCACTTGGCCTCCAGGGGCCTTCTGGGTGTCCCCCTACCCAGAGAGAAAGGAGTTGCTGTCCTCCCCAAGACTGCCAAGGCCTGCAAGCAGATCCTGGTTCCTCAGCTCATGGTCACTATCCATTCAGCAAATATAAAGTGTGCAACAACTACATGCCAGGAACTGGGCTGGGCCCTGAGGAAGTGAGGTGACTGATAGGGCTGTTCTTACCCTTATGGGCTCACTGGCCTGTGCTCTGGGTACTTTCACATCCCTTCTCTCTACCCGCACCCACGGCAAGCCCATGAGGAAAGTGTGGCAAGCCCCATTTGACAGGTAGGAAACTGAAGCCCAGAGGGTAGTCCCTGCTCCAGGCCACATGATCAGCAGGCACAGAAGCTAGGCCAAGATGGGTCTCTCGACTCCAATTACAGGGCTGATTCTGTGGCATCCCAGCTATGAGGAGAAAGCCAAAAGGCAGTTTACTGTGTGACCTTAGGCAGGTCTCTTGCCCTCTCTGGGCTTTGGTTTCCCTATCCATAGAAATAATGGTGTCCGTTTACTGTGTCAGAAGCTTTGCCCTTGTGCACTCATTTCATCTTCCCGGTGATCACTATCTTGTGAATTCTGGGGTCCCAGCTGGGATTGGAACCCAGCAGCATCTGACTCCAAAGCCTGGGCTCACTCCCCTCTCCTTAGCAGGCAAGGCTGGGTTTTGCTGACACATCTGTCTGGCCCAGGAGGGAGGAGACTAGGGCAGGATTCAGGGTCACAAGGCAGATTTGGCTGAGCTGCCTTAGACACTGGTCCCCAAGTGCATGGTGCCAGCCAGTGATTATCATGGGTCTGGGAGTTGGGTGATATGACCCTGGAGGAAGAAGCTTCCCTGAAACTGAGCACCTGCCTCCTGTTGCCAAAATGGCCACGCCCACTCCGCACCCCACTTGACTTTCACAGGGTAGGGGAGTTCTGTGTCA